TATAATATTAAAGAGGAAAACGTTGCCTAATGTTTTTTCCTTTGTAGTTTTGCCTAATGTTTTGCCTTTAACTTGCTTATTTTTTCCTGGATAATTAGAGGGGATTTTCGTTCTTGTTGTTTTTTAAGTGTGAAGTTCAGGATCTCTTAAAATTGAGCCATCTATATGAGGTCTTACTGAGTTATATATGAGACTTTTAAATATTCAGATGCATAGCATCCATTTCAGTGCATTTTCTTTTATTTTACTGTATTTGGCTTTTTTTGTTTTTCATGTGTTCTTTTCTCATTTGAGAAATAAGTTGTCTGTTGTCTCTGTAATGCCTATCATATCTATCATCTCAATAAATGCTTTGATCTCTTCAATTTCTGAGAAAATAGTCCTATGTAGTTTAAGATTTTCTTTTTTATGAAGTATTCGAAACTATGCTTTCACCTACCTTTTGCTTCCTATGTTTGTTTCTCATTGCAAGATTTTTATATAGGTTTCATTTATTTCTGTTTATTTATTTTTGAATAGAATCGATTCTAGCTAGCCTTGCTTAAAAATTGTATAAATGGAAGCCTCTTGTATTACCTTGTGTGTGCAGACACTTGTTTTATGTACTCTTTGGATCTTTCCTTTAAAATTTGAGCTAGAGATTTGTGTTGGTGCTGCTGCTGCTGCTAGTTTCTATGTAGCTATTTAGCTACCTGAGAGAGGTAAATTGGGGAGCTGGGACCTTGGACAGGTGAATAGGGAATTGATCTGACCTTTTTCCTGTGATTTTTCTTATTAGACTCTAGGACTTAAGAGGTGCTTCACTAGGTTGGGAGCATCTTCAGATTTGCTTGGTCATTTTTCTAATTTTGGGTCACTAGTTTACTTTGATAAGAAATTGAATGAGTCAGAACATATTTTTCCCCACATAGTTACCTTTGATCCATTCTCACCATCAGTCTATAGTGATCCAGTTTCTCGACATCCTTACCAGCATTTGATATAGAGCTATCTCATTTTAATTTTAATTTGCATTTTCCTAATGGCAAATGAATTTGAACATTTTCTCATTTGCTCGTTTATTATATGCACTTCCTCTTTAGTGAAATGTATGGTGATGTCTTTTGTTCATTTTTTATTTGATTTTTGTTTGTTTTTGCTGTTTTGAGAATTCTTTATTCTAAATATTAGTTCTTTTGTTAGATGGGTGGTTTGGAGATATTTTCTTTCAGTTTGTAGCTTATCTTTCAGTCTCTCAATATGGTCTTTTGAAGGGCATAAGTTTTTAATTTTGATGAAGTCCAATTTATCAATTTTTTTTCCCTCTTATAAATTGTACTTTTGGTGTCAAGTCTAAGAATTCTTTACCTAGCTTTAGATGCCAAAGATTTTTTAAAAATATTTTTCCTAAAAGCTTTATAGTTGCATGTTTTACATTTAAGTCTGTCCAGGATCCATTTTGAGTTAATTTTTGTATAAGGTGTGAGACTTAGGTCAAGCCTTATTTTTTTGCCTGGGAATATCCTGCAATATTTATTGAGAAGTCTTATCTTTCTACCCCTCAACTGCTTTTGTACCTTTGTCAAAAATCATTTGACATATTTATGTATGTCTATTTTTGGGTTCTCTGCTCTGTCCCATTGATCCATGAGTCTGTTTTTCCTCCAGTACTATACAGTCTTGATTTCAGTCACTTTATCATGTTTTAAACTCAGTTAGACCTATTCCTCCCACTTTATTCTTCTTTTTTTAAAATTTTTGTAGCATCATACTCAATGGAGAAAGGCTAAAAGCCTTTTCCTGAAGATCAGGAACAGACAAGGATGCCCACTTTCACCACTCCTCTTCAACATTGTATTGGAAGTCTTAGCCACAGCAACAAGACAAAAAAGAGAAATAAAAAGTATCTGAATTGGGAAGGAAGAAGTAAAACTCATTATTTGCAGATGACATGATACTATACATCGAGAATTCTAAAGATTTCACCATAAGACTGTTAGAACTGATCAATGAATTCAGTAAAGTAGGAGGATACAAAATTAATATTTAGAAGTCAGTTGCATTTTTATACCAATGATGAACTTTCAGAAAGAGAAATTAAGAAAACAATCCCATTTACAATTGCATCAAAAACAATAAAATACCTGAGAGTCAAATTAACCAAGGAGGTAAAAGACCTGTTCTCAGAAAATTATGTTATTGAAGAAGATACAAATAAATGGAAGCATATACCATGCTCATGGGTAGGAAGAATCAACATCATTAAAATCGCCATACTACTCAAAGCAGTTTATAGATTCAGTGCAATCCCTATCAAAATACCAGTAGCATTTTTCAGAGAACTAGAACAAATGATCCTAAAATTAAATGGAGCCATAAAAGACCCTGAATAGCCACAGCAATCTTGACAAAGAAGAACAAAGTTGGAGGTATCACACTATCTGATATCAAACTATACTATAAGCCTACAGTAGTCAAAACAGCATGATACTGGCATAAAAACAGATGCATTGATCAGTGGAACTGAATAAAGAGCCCGGAAATAAATCCAGCCTATACACTCAATCTGTGACAAAGGAGACAAGAATATACAAAGGGGTAAAGACAGTCTCTTTAATAAATGATGCTGGGAAAATTGGACAGATACATGTAAAACCTTCTTAAACTGTATATAAGAATAGACTCAAAATGGATTAAAACTTAAATATAAGACCCAAACTCATAAAACTTCCAGAAGAAAACATAGGCAGTAATCTCTATGATATTGCTAACAGTTATTTCTTTTTGGACATATCTCCTTGGACAAGGGAAACAAAAGAAATAAACAAATTGGACTACATCAAACTAAAAACTTTTTGCACAGCAAAGGAAACCTTCCACAAAATGAAAAACAACTGACTGGGAGAAGATATTCGCTTATAATACATCTGATAAGGGGTTAATATCCAAAATATATAAAGAATTTATATATTTCAAGCAATAAAATATATACAACTCAACAACAACAACAACAAAAAACAATCCAATTAAGAAAATGGGCAGAAGACCTGGATAGATATTTCTCCAAAGAGGAAATAGATGGCCAATAGACATATGAAAAGATGCTCAAGGTCACTAATCATCAGAGAAATGCAAATTAAAACCACAGTGAGATATCACCTGATACCTGTCAGAATGGCTATCATCAATAAATCAAAGAACAACAACTGTTGGTGAGGATGTAGAAAAAAGGGAACCTTCATATACTGTTGGTGGGATTGCAAATTTGTTGCAGCTACTGTGGAACAGTCTGAGGTTTCTCAATTAAAAATAGATCTACCTTTTGACCTAATAATTGCACTTCTGGGTATTTATCCAAAGAAAACCAAAACAATAATTCATAAGGATCTATGCACCCCTATGTTCATGGCAGCACAATTTACAATAGCCAAGATACGGAAGCAACCTAAATGCCTATCAACAAATGATTGGATAAAGAAGTTATACAATGGAATATTTCTAAGCCAGTAAAAAAAGATGAAATCATACCATTTGCAGCGACATAGATGGACCTAGAGGTTATTATGCTGAGTGAAATAAGTTGCAGAGAAAGATAAATACCATATGATTTCACTTAATATGTGGAATCTAAGGAACAAAAAGAACAAACTAATCATAAATAGACTCACAAATAGAGGACAATCTGCTGATAGCCAGAGGGGAGGGACACTGAGGGGCTGGGAGAAAGGGGTGAAGGGTTAAAGAAGTACAAATTAGTAATTGATAGATGGTCATGGGAATGGGGAGCGCAGCATAGGAGCTGCAGTCAGCATTACTGTAATGGCTAGGTGTAGAGTCAGAGGAGAGAATTTTTGTCCAATGTACTGAATACTTGAAACTAATTAAAATTTTAAAAATTGTTATTTACTTTCTTTGCCTTAATATAAATTTTAGAATAAACTTGTCTGTGTCTACAGAAAATCTTGAAGGGATTTTGATAGAAATCACATTAAACCTATGTATTAGATTGGGGAGAATTGACATCTCTGCTATGTGAGTCTTCTAATCCATGAACATGGTCTGTCTCTCCATTTAGTTAGGTATTAGATTTTTTTTTTTTTAAATTAGGATTCTATAGTGTTTAATCATACAAGTTTTATACATGCCTTCAGTTTTATGTTTTTCATAATCTTTATCTTCAAAGGGATCATTTAGAGGAGGGAGGTCATGTTATAAACGTTTAGCTGTTATTCAAAGTTTGTTTAGATTCATTTAATTTCCCTTTTTCCTATAAATCAAGTAAATTTAACTTAATATGTTAAATCTTTAAAATAGTATAATCTGAATTCTGAAGAACTATAGCAAAATGGTTATCTGAATTCTTGATTCAGATTTCTGTTAAACCCTGGAAAGTCACTGGTCTCTCTGAGTGAGTTCGTCTTTGAAATGGGATTAAGTGTCCCTAGTTTGTAGTTTAAGGTAATTCATGTAAAGCCCTGAGTTCAGGACTCAGATGTTAGCTATAATTATTTCTCCTTCTGTCTCTGTTATTCATAAAAGTATTACCCATATTTGTGATGATACTCATCAAAAGTTGTTTCTGGTTCATGGGATATAGAGTGATTTCTTTCTTTTTCATGCAGTATTTTATTGCTGCTTGTTGTTTTTTTAAAAAATAGTATCACAAAAGTGTCCCTTAAAAAATAAAGTAAAAATATAAATTTTAGTTGTTTCTAAAAATGTAAATCTTTTGCATCTGAGATCTCAGTTGCAACCGGAAATCTGTATTTTTAAAATGTTCTTCATATTTACCCACGCCCCACCCTCACAATGATTATTTTATTCTTTTTATTGACGTCCATCAGTGCGTTTTAACAGCAAATAGAGGGATAAACTCATAGATTAAAATTAAATGCTCTGGGAAATGTTCTTAAATGGAAGGAATTAACTTTCCAGTATAGGTAAGAGTTATCACGCTTTTTGCTCTTGGTATGTATATTGCTTTATAATTTATAACATCCTGCTAATTTCTTTTCTTACAGAAATACACTTTCGGGAAATGGCCTCTAAATCTTGGCTGAATTTTTTAACCTTCCTCTGTGGATCAGCAGTCGGATTTTTTTTATGTTCTCAGTTATTTAGTATTTTGTTGGGAGAACAGGGTGACACCCAGCCTAATATTCTTCATAATGATCCTCATGCTAGGCATTCAGATGATAATGGACAGAATCATCAAAAAGGACAGATGAACTTCAATGCAGATGCTAGCCAACATAAAGGTATGGTTTACTTTATTAAGGAGTAAACACAGTATTTTTTAGTCTATATAAGTGCTGAGAGAATTAGAAAGTAATTTATATAAATTTTGTTATATCACATCATATTTTTTGATGAAAATGAGCTTAATTCCAGATATGAAATGACAATTCTCAGTTTGCATCAGGAGAAACACATTGTCGAAACGTAGATTTGTTTAGGTATTAAAGTATCAATTTTGTATGCAGTTTTCGTAGAAATAGTTCAGAAGCTGTAATTTGGCAAAAGGCAAACTTGTTCAGATTAGATTTATTTCTGAAATTTTTGTCTAATTTTGTTATCATGATTCATATTTGTGTCTTTAGTTTCCACTATTGTTTTGGTCTTAGTTTTTGCTTAGTCATGTTTTCCTAGAGAAACTCAAGAGGTATATATAAATCTCAGTTTATATTTTTATCAGTAGCTAACATCACTAATCTTTTCTCTTTTTGAGAAGCATAAAGAACTAGGGAAGCAGAATACTAGGGATGTGTTATTATTACTCCATTTTCTCCTGGCCTCAGATCTCTAACCAGATTTTCTCAATTGAGTCCTCTGTGCCCATTAAATTTTGGTTTAATGGGCACAGAGCTAAATGACAAGTTTCTGTACTTTGGCTCTTTTTTTTGGCCTGTGTGATATCATCAAACCCCATAATTTTCATTTCCACCTATTCCTTACTGTCTTTATCTTCAACCCAGTTCTTAAGACTATGAGACAGCATTAATACAATAAAAAGACCTCTGCAGATTTTATGGTTGATTTGACAGAAAGGAATATACAAAAGAATACAACTTGAAAACAATTAGAATTATAGGGTGCAGAGGGTCCCCATTAAGCATTATTTCTCTTATCTTTCTGGCTGTAAATTGTTTCCTTCTTCTCAAGCAGAGGTTGAGGGCAAATTATCAAATCTTGGTTGAGTTTTATGAACTAGCAAACACATGCATACTATTGTAAATTATCTTACGTTGTGTGAATGTTTTATATAACAATGATTCATCTCTGAGCAGGTGCTCTGGGTTCTTACAGTAAAGCAGTTTGATCACTGTGCCTTTGTTCTGTAGCATCATCACTCCAGGTCTTGAAATGATCAATTGAATTGAGGCTCCTCTATTCCTAGTAGGCTGTACTTGGTTGGCCTTACTGCAGACACATATATTAGGTACCTACTTGTCCTCCTCGATAGCCCACAAAATGTAGGATATGCTAAAAGTTGTCTGTTCCTCTCAAACTTAACATGTACAAATAAAACACTTTTTCTTTTCCTTCCTCCTTCTAAAACTTCATCTGTCTCCTATATTCCTTATTGTACATAGCTCATTACCATCTGCCTAAGCCAGAAACTGTGAAGTTATAGTAGATGCTTTCCTTCACTTACCAATCCCATTTATCGCTTAATTCTAACAAGTCACTTTCTTTACCATTTTTCAGATTTCTTCTCTCAATCTATAGTGCATTTCCCTATTTCAGGCCTTCAGTTATTCCCATGTATCTGCACTCAGCCAAACTTCACCATGCCTTTTGTCCTTTCTTCTGGTGAGCATCTACTCATTTAAAGACCTATCTTCTGCATCATTTCTTATTTTTGCTGCTATTGCTTTATCTCCCCTTCTCTGTACTAGCCAGGTTCCATTGCACTGTTCTATAGGATTTATCAGCAACCGCTTTCTTTTCCCTTGGCACATTGAATGCTTTGTACATACCACTGTTACAGCTTCTCTTAGTATGTGGCAAGTGTTGGTTTGCACATGTGTCTTATTCTTCTTTTCATCTCCTTCAAAGTAATTACTGAGTAAATAATTGAAAGAATGAGAAAGAATATCTACCAAATCCCAACAGTGGGGAGAAAGTTTTGTTCTAAATGAAACATATTGGAGTCTCCTATATCCACCAATTCCCCGATCCATCCAGGATTTGCTATATCTGTACAGCTAAGAGATTGGGCTCCTCAATATAAGAAACTTGAATTCTCTCTGACTGAAAATAGGGTGATTTTGTCTGTTTTTAGATTATGAATTCTTAATATTCAGAGAGGCATGAGTCTATTTTCATGCCCTGCTATTCTATTCTCTCAGTCAGTTAACTAGAAATTTATGCTTCCCGTTGTTAATTTTTCACAGGACTAAATTTTTGTAACTCACTGGTTGACCTTAACTTTAAGGATATGCTTTCTCAGGATTCTGCCTACAGCATTGCTACACAAAGTGTGGCTTTGCAGACTCATGCTGATCTACAACTAAATAAGTATTGAAATTGTAATTAAACAGAAACTTTTATGGTAATTTGACAGTAATTTCGTCTAAATCTATATATAAAAACTTATTGGGGCTTGTATTTTATATATTTTTTTAATTTTTATATTTCAGTATTTTATTTTTAGCATATTTATAAAAGTATAGATCTCTTAACTATTGGAAATAAAAATTTGTCCTTTACCAAGTACTGATCTAGAATTTTACGTTTAAACTCTTCCTGTGCAATTGCATTACTCAGTACGTGGTCCTGGCCTGACAGTCTGTGAGCTGTTTGTTACCTGTCTGCACGCAGATAAGGAACTTGCACCAGGATGTAAATCAGTTAAGCTCACTGCTTAGGACTTTTGCCATGGGGGGAGCAAGACTTCCTCAATGAAAAGATTAATATGTTGCTTTATATTCTGTCATAAGCTCCTTACATGTTTCTTTACAAACCAATACTTTGAAAAACACTACTCTAACAATCTTGGAAATACTGCTTCTACCTGTTCATCCATTATTTGCGTTTCGTAATGAGGCATGTTACTATCAGAAATGTCAGCTCTACGTTAACCATTAACTCCATCAAACTGGGGTAGTTATGAAAGCCTCTTTAAAGGCACCTCAGGGTAATTGTAGAAATTCATAACAGTGGACTCTTGTGAGCTTCAAAATGAACTGCCACTTCAGTGGTATGTCTTTCCTGCCCTTCAGAAGCTTATTTAGAGCAGCGAAAAATTCCTATCAATGTTCTGTTAACCTGCTGTAGTTTCATTGTAGAATGGAGTGAAAAGCAAAGATTATCTAAGGTAGTGCTTAAAATGCATGTGAATCACCTGGAGAACTTGTTAAAATGCAGATTATGATTCAGTTAGTCTGGGGTGGGACCTGAGATGCTGCATTTCTAACACACTCCCAGGTGATGCTGGTAATGTTTGGAAATGAACCATGGTTCATAATAATAAGAATTTAAGTCATAGTGACACTGTTGTTAGCTCCAGTGATCTCCTGGATAAGATTGACATGAAACCAATAAATCATAATGTCGGTTCATATTAGGTTGAGTTTTGCTTTCTTTCAGCTAAATCACTAATGATAAATAAGTAAGTAGACGCGGGGCTGTTTTTTGAAATTGTTTAAGAAAATGTCTTCAGAATAATTTATTTGGATTTTACATATGTGTAAATATAACTTTTAAAATTTTTGTTTAATAGATGAGAACACAGACGTCGCTGGAAACCTCTATCAGAAGGTTAAAATTCTTTGCTGGGTTATGACAGGGCCTCAAAATCTAGAGAAAAAGGCTAAACATGTCAAAGCTACATGGGCCCAGCGTTGTAACAAAGTGTTATTTATGAGTTCCGAAGAAAATAAAGACTTCCCTGCTGTGGGGTTAAAAACCAGAGAAGGCAGAGACCAACTATACTGGAAAACAATTAAAGCTTTTCAGTATGTTCATGATCATTATCTAGAAGATGCCGATTGGTTTATGAAAGCAGATGATGATACATATGTTATACTAGACAATTTGAGATGGCTTCTCTCAAAACACAACCCTGAAGAACCCATATACTTTGGGAGAAGATTTAAGCCCTATGTAAAGCAGGGTTACATGAGTGGAGGAGCAGGATATGTATTGAGCAAAGAAGCCTTGAAGAGATTTGTCGATGCGTTTAAAACAGAGAAATGTACACATAGTTCCTCCATCGAAGATTTAGCACTGGGGAAATGCATGGAAATTATAAATGTAGAAGCAGGAGATTCCAGAGATACCACTGGGAAAGAAACTTTTCATCCCTTTGTACCAGAACACCACTTAATCAAGGGTTATCTACCTAGAACCTTTTGGTACTGGAATTATAACTATTATCCTCCTGTAGAGGTAAGTTTAGAAATTGTATTACAGTATAAATACTTAGACTGAATTTTGTTACCTTAAAAAAAAAACCTAGTTGAGATGCGTGAATGTTTCTTTAGTACCACTAGGAATCGCCCTTTGTCTTTTTATAGAGTGGCAGTATGATGAAGTAAATGAAAATAAAAGTGTCATCAATAGTCATTCAAAAAGTATTGGTACTATTATATGCCAGGCACTGAGAATAGAGTGGTAAATATGGCCAAGTTCCATTTCTCATGAACCTTACATTCTGGATGAGGAAACATACAATAAACAGGTAGACTAGTTAAGATATATGATTTTATATAAAATCATGTGCCCTGAAAGAAAAAGCCAGGTAAAAGGAAAGAGAGTGACCCAGAGGGGAGTAGGGTATCTAGTTTAAAGAAGGCCTCCCTAAAGAGTGACTTTTGAACAGAAACCTGAGTGAGGTTAGAGAGCTGGCTAGCAGTCCATGGGAAGAAGACTAAAGAGACTTCTAGTCTTCAGGAACAATGCATGAAAAGACTTTAAGGTTTGGGAAGACCTTGGTTCAAATCCTGCTTTCCCATTTAATAGTTGAATGATCTTGGATGGACAGAATTTGCCTACCTACCAAGCATAAGTTTCCTCACTTGTAAAATAGATCTGATATACCTCATCCAGTTGTAATTATATATAGTACAGTGCCTGTCACAGAGTAAGTACCTAATAAACCTTAGCTTTCATTTGATGCCTTAGCTTACATTTCTGAGAATTTTATCGAAAGTACATTATTAAATATTTCAGATGTACAGACAAAATTTGAGAATATAGTATCTTGTACCTACCAACTAGCTTTACCAAATATTAATCTGCTACATTTGCTTTAGATTTTTTTTTTTTTTTAAGAAAAAGATATAGATATAGTTTAGGTCTGTGTACCCTCCCCAACACAGTTCTCCTGCCTCTTTCCTCAAAGTTAATCATGATCATAAATATAATATTTTTGATTGCCATGGATGTTTTTGTTTTTATGTTTACCCATAATCTATAGCATTTTTTTTGCAGGTTTTTAAATAGATGAAATTATACCATATATATTCTTATACATTTTCCCTTTTCATACATTAAAATTTATCAACATTAATATATGTATCTGCTTTATTAATTTAGACTGCTGTATAATCTAATATATGAATATCTGTAATTTTTCCATTCTCCTGCTGATATACATTAGTAAGTTGTTGCCAGTTTTTCACTAATATGAGCATTACAGTGAATGACTGAAGGAGAGCAGCAGTCACAAAACGTAGCTTTTAGACTCAGTTCTATTATTAATAAGGCCTTTGGGCAAGTTACTAGGACTCTGTACTTTCCTCTCATCCTAAGATACAAATAAGACACTTCATTCTACCATTCTCTTCTTCACAAGCCAGTATTTTCAAACCAGCATATAGAATAGTGGTTCTTAACCAGGAGTTTTCTTTTGCCTCCCAGAGAATATTTGGCAAATCCAGAGACAGTTTTGGTTGTTAACTGGAAGGTTGCTACTGATATCTAGTGGGTAGAAACCCACTAAATGCTAAACATTCCACAATGCACAGTACAGCCCTCCACAACAAAGAATTATCTGGCCCCAAATGTCAGTAGTACTGAAGTTAAAATGCCCTGACCTAGAACATCTGACCCAAGCTTTAGGTTATCAGCTTTAAAAGGAAACTTTGGAGCAACTCACCACTGCTTCTGCTTCTGCTGTCACCGCCAGTGTGTTCTTGGTACTTATACAGACACCATAACTAATCCTTATAGTAATTCTGCATTTAATAGGTGACAGAACTGAAGCTCAGGAAAGTGACTTGCCTCTCCTGCTAAGTAGTTTAGGGAGTATTGCAAACCACTCTGATTCTACAAGCTCTTGTTATTTTCATCATGATTTCCCCTCTACGGTTAATGAGATAAGTGCCCAAAAGGGGGATGGTGAGAGGATATGTTAGAATAAATGTTCTGTTGGGATAAATTTACACTTTAAGGAAGAAACATTGTAAAGGTCAGTTCTATAAAATGAGGCTGTTTGAAACCTTATGCTAGCATTTTATTGCTACTGCAGGGGCAACAGTGTCCTAGACTATAAAACAGATGTATTCTCAAGCCTGCCTTTTTATAGTCTATTTTTGTTTTTAGTGGATACTTTTTTAATGGAACCTTTTCTTAGTATATTCTGACCACTC